CACCCCTGTCATCTCCCCGTTGCCCAGCTCCGGAGGGGGTGACCGGGAACCCCCGTCCCTGATGCCCATGGCGTCTCTGCCGCAGGGCCAGTCGCTGAGATCTGGGCGCTCTGCCCACTCTGCCGGAACATGCCACGCTTCCAGCAGGAGATGTTGCGCCTGGGCATCAAAATCCCTGACAGGTCGGTGCCCTCTCCGCTGCCTCCCTTCCCCTCCGCAATGCTGCAGCCGATCTTATCCCCTCCGAGGGGTTCCCCCACAGCCCTGGGGCTCAGCGCTGTCCTGCTCTCACAGGAACGCTGCCTGGGAGGAAGATGACAACTTGGTCGACCTTATCCTCCTGCACAACACCTGCAACGCCAGCTACTGCCTGCACGCAGGTCAGGACGATGTGGACGGGTGAGTGCCGCTGGACGCCAGTCCCCGCATCTTCCTTGGGGCAGGGACGGAGGTGCCCTGGGATGCTGAGCGCTGGGTTGGTGCCATGGCGCTGGGTGCGTGCCGGCAGCTCAGCCCTGGTTGCGGGGGGGATGAGGGTGGAGGTGGGCTCAGCACAGCTCGGGGGCGGGCAGCCCACAGCTCGGGGGCCTTTGGTGACAGCAGGTCCTGGTGCTCCCCCGCCAGGCCCTGGAAGCTTCTGCTCTGCAGCTCCTGTGGCTCCACCAGGACCCAGCAGTTGTGCTCCAGGGTGTCAGAAGAAGTCGACTCCTGGGAATGCACAGACTGCAGCGGCGCAGGCAGCGGTTGAGGAGAGCAGCTGGGGCCATGGGGTCACCCGGGCTGGGGGGCCGGCACAGCTCTGTGATGCGGGGAGGGAGGGAGTGTGGCCCTGCCCCACTTGCAGCCGGCCCAGACTCCAGCCCCCAGCACAGGGACCCTCGCCCAGCACCCCGGCTCCTGGCTCTTGGGCTGAGGAAGAAGAGACCAGGATCCTCAGGAGCATCAGCAGCTCTCCCTGATGGCAGAGGAGACAGTGATCCTCACTGACAGAGGTTCTAGAATATAGAACTATCAAATAAAAAATGAATTATGTACAACTATGAAGTCATCTGTAATAAAGAAATCCCTTCTTGCGGCACCTCCAGCCCCTGCCGTACCCTTCACTGCAGGGGAACTTGGGGTGCACTGGCTGGGGCAGTGCCCCGAGAGTGGTCAGGAGGGGGACAGGGACACAGCTTCCAAGCTGGTCACTGAAGAAGAGGGTGCTAGGGTCACTGGAAATGCGGGAAATGGAACCAGTGCTGAGGGGGGCTAATACTGGCTGATCAATGTCCCAAATGACAGAGCATGGGGAGGGCAAGGGCGTCCCTGCGGATCCCTTATGGCACACTGGGGCACGAGGAGTCACTTCACAGATACTCAAAGTGGTTGATAGCACAAACATTTGATTTAGGTATCAAAACTCCTGATTGTCACATCGATATAGTTTATTTTCTTTTAAATATTATTTTTATAGTGTTAGAATTACTTTTGTATTTTCTCTTTTCTTAATAAAAAATACATAGTTTAACTTAAATAAGTTAAATAGAATCCCTTTTCCCATTGAAGAAGGCTGCAGTTCGAGTATTCTCCCATTTGCCCGTGGCTGAAGCAAAGCCTGACGGGGTGCAAGGGGACGTGGCAGCGGCAGCGGGGAGGCTCATTTCTTCAGGATCTGGAAGTGCTTCAGATGAGCCTGCACCCAGGGCATCCGTGGGTCCACGCACATCTCCTTCTTGGCCTTGGTGACCAGGCTGAGGAGAAAACCCGTGTTGGGGCGCTCAGCCAGGGCAGCGGGGTACGGTGTCCCCAGACGTCCCCCATCCCCTCCTGGCTCAGCCCCTGCCGTCGCACCCCGCGTCCCGCACCCATGGGTACTCACATCACGCCCGGCTGGGGGCATTTGCTGCTGGGGAACTAGGGTGGAGGGACCCCCCCCTCCTGGCTCAGCTCCTGCCGTCGCACCCCGCATCCCGAACCCATGGGTACTCACATCACGCCCGGCTGGGAGCATTTGCTGCTGGTGACATAGATGGAGGTGATGCGGCTCCGCGGGACAGGGCGCTGCTGGTACGTGAAGCAGCAGGTGGTGGGGATGCTGTCTGTGAGGGCAGAGACAGGCACAGCCCTGGTGAGCCCCCAGCCTACGGCACAGGCCCCACCGGCGCTTGGGCTGCCCCAGGGATTTGCCACCTCCTGGCCCCCATTCCCTGGTGGTGGCTCTTCAGGAGTCTGCTGGCTGAGTCCCCGAAGTGGTGGGTCTGCCCCCCTCCCGCCCCGCAGCCCC